TGAATGTTTGTCTGTGATTTGTGCATATCGAGATCCTCGTGGGTTCCAACATCAAGCACATTTACCTCATTTCTTCAGACCACAGTATGATTGTATTGGAGACAGATTGTACTTTGAAAATTAAACCTAAAAGGTTTGTTTTTGATGAAAGGTGGGTCCAATTAGAAGGGTTTATGGAGACAGTTGAGAGTGCATGGAATCTAGAAGTAAGTGGTCCTGAGCTTTATAGTATTCAGAGTATGATCAGAAATGTGAGGGTTGCCATCCTGAATTGGAAAAAGAAGCATACCACTAACTCAGCTAAAATGATAGATTTGTGTAAAAAGGCTCTTTTTGATCTGGAAATTCAAGGAGTGGGTAGAAACTGGGAGGAGTGGTGTAAATGGAAAGATCTTTTGCATAAGGCATACTCAGATGAGGAAAGGCATTGGAAGCAGAAGTCTAGGGTTAAATGGTTGCAAGAAGGTGATAAGAATACCAAATTCTTTCATGCTTCTGTGCAACAGAGAAGACAGATGGGTAGTATGGATAATGTTGTGAATAGATGGGGTAGGACTTGCAAAGATGAGGAGGAGTTAGTAGGGGAATTGGAGTGGCATTATCAGAATTTGTTTAGGTCAGATAATAATGAATTTGGTGAGTGTGTGCTTGATGGAATTCCTGCTACCATTACAGATGAGATGAATCAGAGCCTTATCAAAGGGGTGGAAGAAAAGGAGATTCTAGTAGCTCTCAAAGATATGGAACCATCCAAAGCACCAGGCATAGATGGAATGACTGCATTATTTTTTCAGAAATGTTGGCAGATTGTTAAAACCCATCTGTGTGCTGCTATATTGAATTTTTTGCCACTAGTAGAATGCCAAAAGGTTTAAATCATACTGTTCTCTCCCTTATTCCTAAAATCAATAACCTTGTTCAAATTTTCAGATTTCAGACCCATTGCTTTGTGTACAGTTGTTTATAAACTTATTTCCAAAATTATTGCTAATAGACTTAAGGCAGTTTTGAGTCCTTGCATTGATGCTTCCCAAGCTGCTTTTGTTCCTGGGAGGCAAATTCTTGATAATGTTGTCCTAGCTAATGAGTGCTTGCATTACATAAATAGTAATAGGAAAGGGACTAATCATCTTATGGCTGTTAAATTAGACATGGAAAAAGCGTATGATAGAGTAGAATGGGGGTTTTTGCTTCATATCTGCAGGAAAATGGGTTTGATGAAGTTTTCATTTCCTGGATTTCTTCTTGTATATCTTCTTCCTCTTTTTCTTTCAGTATTAAGGGTCAAGTTTTGGGTTTTGTTCAACCTTCTATGGGTATTAGGCAAGGTGACCCTATATCTCTATATTTGTTCATCATTTTATCTGAAGCATTTTCTTATTTAATTGCTAGAGCTAAAGCTCAATTTTGTTTCTCTGGTATAAAAATCAGTAGATTTGCTCCAGCTATTACTCATTTCCTTTTTGCTAATGACACTATTCTATTTTGTCAAGCAGATGAATATCATGCCCAGCTTATCAGCCTTATTCTTGATATTTTTGGTTCTGCCTCAGGTCAAAAAGTTAATATGCATAAGTCTTCTGTTCTATTCTCTAAAAATACCCCTCTCAGAATCAAGATTAGGATCTGTAATACTCTTAATGGCATTAAGTGTGTGGATGCTGGTAAATATTTGGGACTACCTCTAGGAATAGGAAGATCCAAGAGGAGCACTTTCAAATTTATCTCTGATAGTGTTGATAAAAAATTAATGAACTGGAAAAACAACTTTTTAAGTGAGGCAGGTAGGGATGTGTTAATTAAATCGGTGCTTGAAGCTCTTCCCTTATATGTAATGTCCTGTTTTAAACTCCCTGTGGGTGTATGTAAGGATATTTGCAGAGGGATAGCTAACTTTTGGTGGGGTTGTAATGAGGAAGGGGGCCCTAGGATTCATTGGACTTCATGGGATTTTGTTGCCAGACCTAAAGCTAAAGGAGGGTTGGGTTTTAGGAACATCAGTGTTTTCAATGATGCTCTCTTAGTGAAGCAACTTTGGAGACTGGTGACTAAACTGAACCTTCTCATTAGCAAGGTTTTAAAAGGGAGATATTTTTTAGAAGTAGTTTGTGGGAGGTTAAGCCAAAAGGGGGAGATTCTTGGCTCTGGAGGAGTTGGGCAGGGGTTATTAAGTGGTTGAGGTTGGGGATTCGGGTTCAAGTTGGGTATGGTAGTAGCATTAGGGTCTGGGATCATCCCTGGCTGCCTAGAGCAGTTAATCCCATCCCAGTGCTATGCTTCCCTGAGGATAGAGATAGATTTGTCTGGGTGAGAGATTTGACATGTGCTGAGGGGGGTGTGTGGGATAGAGAGCTGGTGAGGAAATCTTTCTTACTAGAAGATGCTGATCTCATATTAAAGATTCCTATATCCATCTTGGGTAAGAAAGACAAACTCATCTGGCTTTTTGGGAAGCATGGGAAATTTAGTGTGAAGTCTGCATATTACACTCTTCTGGATTTCAGGGAAGCTAGAAGGGACATTGCCTACTCTAGTGACACTACTAGGAGTGAAGCTGATGTGTGGAAGTTAACCTGGAAGCTGCCAATTCAGAACAAGATTAAAGTCTTCATATGGAAGTTCTGGAATAATTTCTTGAGCACTAATGAGCAATTACTGAAAAGAAAGTTTCAGGTGGATAGCATTTGTCATTTGTGTGGGGATGATGTCATGGATTCTATAGGCGGCGATGGCGGATCTAAAGGAGTTGGCCGGGAAGTGTCGGGGAATGTCGAAATGGGTTGAAATTTAGGGTTGCCGATTTGGTTTCTTTTAATTTTCCTATTTTTCATTTTATTTTGGTCTTGTTATTTGGGCTGGTTATTATGTTGTTGGGCTGCAAGATAATTTGTGTTGGGCTGAGGCATAAATTAGCTATTTCTTGAATTTAAGCCTTTTTATCCATTAGCACATGTATTTAAGTATGGATGATGAAGAATGGAATATCAGGATGTCATTTTCCTAACAACTTTCTCTCTGCTACTCTCTCTCTCTATTCTCTCTCTCTCTCTCTCTCTCTCTCTCTCTCTCTCTCTCTCTCTCTCTTACTTCTTCCTCACGTTTTTCATCTTCTTCCCCACATATTCCATACATTTTGCAAAAATTAATATTAAACAAATAATAAAAATACAAAAATACTACTGCCCACTACAATTGGTATCTCAGAGCTGCTGATCCTTGGAAATGGCGGAGAATACTCGCTTGAAGGACCTGCAAGAAAACCAGAAAAGACTGGATCAGTTCGTAATCACAGAATCCATGAAAAGGGAAGCTGGTGAGCAGAAAATGCAAGAACAAATGGCTGGTCTAAGTTCTGATCTGCAGGATAAAATCACCAACATCAGCTCTACACTACAACAGCAGCTGGGAAATCTGGATATCAAATATGACCATGTGGCCACTGTGTTGTCTACTATGCAGACACAATTGCTGAAGCTAAGCAAAGAAAAAGAGCCCAGGATGGAGGAATCCATATTGGGTACCCCTCCATCTCAACAATACACAAAAGGCAGCACTCCTCCTAAACCATCACAGCAACAATTTACTAACACACAGATGCAGCTGGAAAATTCAACTTCACAGTCTCATTTCATCAACCCCATTCCTAAGGTTGATTTTCCCAGGTTTGATGGTACTAATCCTAGAGGCTGGATACTTAAGTGTCATGGGTACTTCCAGATTATCCCTAATATTCCTGATGCACAAAAAATTGTTTTAGCTTCTATGCATTTTGAAGGGAAAGTTGCACAGTGGTACCAAAATTTCTGTGCTAAATATAAAAACTGCTCCTGGTCACAATTTTTGGAAGTGATTTCTTCCAGATTTGAGGAAATCAGAGAATCCAGGATAATAGGGGAATTTAACAAACTCAAAAACACAGGATCCTATGAAGACTATGTTGAAAAGTTTGAAGAACTCAGGTCCTGTATGTTACTTTTCAACAATGGAGAGTTTTCTGAAGATTATTTCATTGCCAGTTTTCTAAGTGGGCTGAGTGAAGAAGCACAGGCTCTTATTAATATGTTTGATCCCAGAACCTTGCAACAGACTATTGAACTGGGAAGGAAGCAACAGTGCACAGTGGATGCTATTGTGAAAAGGGCAAAAGTGCCTAACAGGTTCAATAACTAATACTCAAATTTCAGGAAAAATGAACCATCACCTGTTAAGACTCCCTACCCAAATAACCAATTTAAACCACCTGTCAAGATGCTAACTGCTCATGAGATGGCTGCAAGGAGGGAAAAAAGGTTGTGTTATAATTGTGATGAGCCTTATGTGGTGGGGCACAGGTGTAAAAACAGAATCACCTATATGATTATGACAGAGGAAGAAGAACTTTCATGTTTGGAAAATGAGGACTACACTGAGGAGGA